CCCACATGCCGTGGAGCAATTAATTCTGTGCACCACAACTCCTGAGCCTGTGCTCTAGAGCCAGTGAGCCACAACCCCTGAAATCCGTGTGCCTAGAGCCTGTGCTCCGCAACAAGAGAAGCCACTGCAATGAGAAGCCCACTCACCGCAACTAGAGAAAGCCCGCGCACAGCAACGAAGACCCAATGCAGCCAAAAATAAATAAATTTATAAAAAAAAAATGTAAAAAAAATAAAAGGGCGTTCCTTTAGCAGCAGTTGGTGTGCCTACATCCTTTACAGTCAGTGTGGCCGGGTCCACTAATGACATTTATCCAGCCCCCAAACTTGCACTGTCCTTCCACAATTAGTGGAGGAAACAATGCCATAGTCTCTTTCTTTCGCTTTAAATAAACCTCTTGTTGGGTCGGGCGGAGGAGCTAGGGAGTCTGGGCCTGCGGTCCACCCCAGGCTTTGGGTTTGGGGAGGTGCCTGAGTTTGGCCGGGACCCTGTAAAAGGCGGTGCGGGATGATGCCACCGCTGACCCGGGTCAGGCCCCGCCCAGGTCTCTGCCGGGACCTGGCGCCCCGCCCCACCTCGCGGCGGCCGCGCACTGCGAACTACATTTCCCATAATGCACACCGGGGCGGGCAGGGCCAGGCCCAGCGACTGGAGCCGGGCCTCCGCCGCCAGAGGCCGGCGAGTGCTGTCTTCCTGAGCCGGCAGCCAGGCGAGGGGCCGTGGGAGGGAGCGGTGGCCTGCGCTGTGGCCATGTCTGTGTCTGCAGGGGGCCGTGGTCCCGCGAACCTGAACCATCAGTCCGGGCCCGGCCGGACACCCGTGACCTCCCGGGGGTCCGGCAGAGGGCAGTGACCGGCAATCTCTGTGCTTCCTGACCCCTTCCCCCTCCCCGAGAAACAGGTGAGTCCGACTGCCAACCCACGTGGCTTGGGGGCGCCGAGAGACTGGAGAGCTGTCATCTTTGAAGGGAGGGGCTTGAAGACTGGGGGCCCCTGCAGTCTACGCTGCCCCTTGCGGTAGAAGGACTGGGTCTCTCTGGGGTCCCTTCGCCGGTTCCCAGCTGGGGAATACAAAAGACGAGGCCTGGAACTCTTCCTTCGGCTGGAAGGGCAAAGTCCTGTAGCCCCAACGCACACACATTCGGCCCAGCAGAGTGCTCTCAGAGACTGGCAGAGGTTGACTGTGGGGTGAGCAGGAAGCTCCTGAAAGTGTCTTGAGGCTTGGGACTTTGCCTTCAAGGGTGCCCTGGCTCAGATAACCAAGCTGCCTCTTGCACCTGTTGAGCCACACTTTCTGGGCTCGAGTTTGCTGGGGAGGGTGAGCAGCCTTTGTCAGAAAGGGGAGTGACCACTAGCAGTGACAAGTACCAAGCTATACTCTGAGCGTGGAGTAGGCATCCTGCTGAAGCAGTTACAGCACAGCCTCACCTGGACCCTGTCTGCCACACATCCATGCATCCTGGCACCATCCTCCCAGATAGCCCACTCCCCAAAGGGTCAAGGCAGGATAGGACACTATCTAAGCAGGAAGAGGGAGCAAGAGTGGTAGGGACCCAGTAGGGAGGGGTTCTTGCAAGGCCCTTCCTCTCTCCAGGCCAGGCACCTAGAGGAGGGAGGCATACCAGAAGGGCTGATTGAGCTAACTTGTTTGGTGACATTGCTCAAAGGCACAGCAGAGCACTTCTAGGGAAAATAGCAAGCCCTGGGGGCTTCTAGAGAGGCTGCCTGAGAAGGGGCCCCAAGGGAGTATCTGGGACTGGTTCCAAGAGACCTCTCTTGCTTAACTGCTTCAGGCCCAGCCACCCAAGAGCTTCAGCCACACAGGTTATGGCTCCAATGGGGTTTGGGGTGGGTTTTGCTATGAGTCATTCACCCTCCCTGCTTAGTTTCCAGTGTAAATGTCCAGAGAACTGTTTGCTTCACCAGGGCTTTTGGCTGGACCCCGATACTTGCCTTGGAGACATTGAGGTACTACATGATTTCAGGTGGTTGGAGAACTGTTCGGAAGGAGATGTCCACTAGCCCCAGCCAGCTGACCCTGCCCTCACAACATGCAGGTACCATGTTGGGTAGTACTCAGCCATGCTGGGCGCAGTTACCTAAATCCCACTGGGATCAGTGGGTAGTGGGCCCTCAGGGCTAAGCTGCTGTAGACCTTGTTTTGGTCTTTGAGCCAGAGGCGCAAGGCCACAGAGCAGGGACATGTGGTAGAAAGGAGTTCAGCTTGGGAGAGACTTCTGGGAGCAGCAGGGAAGTTACAGGTCTGTCCTGAAACTTCAGGATGAATAGCCAGTTAGCCTGGAGGAACTCCCAGCCCTAGGCCCAAAGGCATCTCTTTGTCCCAGCATCACAGATGGGTCATTTCAGGCCAGAGCCCACCTGGCTTCATGAGGTCAGAAGCACGTCCTGCTCACTAAGGGCCTGGCTCAGGATGAGCAAACTCGCAAAGGACTGATTTACATGGCAGAGATTACTGGATCTGTGTATAAGTGCAGGTACACATGGTCTGAATAAGAATAATCATGATGTGCTAAAGACAGCTGAGTGTATATGTACCTACTCTGTGCTAGGGTAACCAAATTACATGGATTATCTCATTTAATCCTTCCACAACCCAATGAATCAGTGCTGTCATCATCCTCATTTCATAGGTGAGAAAGCTGAGATTTATAAAACCAAGCCAGGTTAATACAGGCCCCTCTGACTCCAGAGCCATTGTTACTGAACACTTAACTACTACCAAGGACTAAGTCTTCCCTACAGGCAGGAGTCTCCCAAGGCTACATTGGAGCTGGGTGTTCTCTGAGGATCTTTCATCTTCTCCCTTCCAAAGTTATTTATCTGACAAATGTTAATTAAAGCCCTGCTTATGGAGCTGACATTCTGAAATTTGCGACAGCTCACAGGGTTACCTTCAATGTAGAAAAATAAAGCAGGGCAAGGGAGATAAGAATCCAGGATATTCCAGGAAGGCCTCTCTGATAAGGTAACACTTGAGCAGCAACCTGAAGGAAGTGACAGAGTGAGTCATGTAGATATTTGGCCAAGTAGTGGAATAGGTGAGGTGGGGGGCAGGGGGAAAAGTAGGGAGGTGTGGTCCAGGCAGAAAATTCAGCAAGAGCAAAGTTCTGAAGTGAAGGAATACTCAGGATTTACATTTACAGTATACTCAAGGAAAGCCATAATGTCAGTGTGGCTGGGTTGAAGCAAAGCAAGTAGGGGAAAGAATAGGAGATGAGGTTGAAGAAGTAATTTGGGGGGTGGGGTGCAGTGCGTGTAGACAGAGAGGTTCTTGTGCACCACTGTGAGGAAATTGGCTTTCTCACTGGGTTAGGTGTGACCATTACAGACTAGTGAGCAAAGGAGCTACGTGACTTGACTTCTGTCTCAAGCAGATCACTTTGAGTGCTGTGAGAAGGATAGACTGTACAGGGACAAGGACAGAAGTGGGGAGACTGGTTAAAAGACTGTTGCAATGCTGGAGAGGGTGTGAAGGAAAGGGAACCCTCTTATACTGTTGGTGGGAATGTAAATTGATACAGCCACTATGGAGAACAGTATGGAGGTTCCTTAAAAAACCAAAAAGTAGAACTACCATACGACCCAGCAATCCCACTACTGGGCATATACCCTGAGAAAACCATAATTCAAAAAGAGTCATGTACCACAGTGTTCATTGCAGCACTGTTTACAATAGCCAGGACATTTACAATAGCCAGGACCTATGTGTTCATCGACTGATGAATGGATAAAGATGTGGCACATATATACAATGGAATATTACTCAGTCATAAAAAGAAACAAAATTGAGTTATTTGTAGTGAGGTGGATGGACCTAGAGTCTGTCAAACAGAGTGAAGTAAGTCAGAAAGAGAAAAACAGATACCATATGCTAACACATATATATGGAATCTAAAAAAAAAATGGTTCTGATGAACCTAGGTGCAGGACAGGAATAAAGACACAGACGTAGAGAATGGACTTGAGGACACGGGGATGGGGAAGGGTAAGCTAGGATGAAGTGAGAGAGTGGCATTGACATATATACACTACCAAATGTAAAATAGATAGCTAGTGGGAAGCAGCCACATGGCACAGGGAGATCAGCTTGCTGCTTTGTGACCACCTAGAGGGGTGGGATAGGGAGGGTGGGAGGGAGACGCAAGAAGGAGGGGATATGGGGATATTTGTATATGTATAGCTGATTCACTTTGTTACGCAGCAGAAGCTAACACGACATTGAAAAACAATTATACTCCAATAAAGATGTTAAAAAAAAAAAGACTTGCAACAATCTGCTAGAGAGATAATGTTGACTGGGACCAATGTGATAGTGGTGGAGGTGATGAGAAGTGGTCAGATTCTGAATATGGGCATTTCCCCATGGAACATCAGTAATCCGTTCCATGAAAGTTGGACATTCTGTCTGGAATCACTAACTTAGTATCTGTTTCCCACTTTTTTTTTTTAACATTTTATTGAAGTATAGTTGATTTATGTGTTTCCCCATTATTTCAAATGGGAAAAAGTATAATTCTTCCTTCATCAACCCCAAATCCCCAATTTTCTAAAATGGCACTAAAACACAAGGAAAAGACATACCTAATACATGCCAAATAAATTATAATGTTAGGATACAAAATGCTTAAAACACTTCCTCCTGATCAAACAGTGTTGCTTTGATACAGCATCATGGCCTCTTTCAGTACCTGCAAATAGCCATGATGTAAGTAAACCCCTTTTGTTGGCACTCAATGATCTATCAGTTCTATTTGAAATGTAATTTGAGGCTTTAAATGCACATTCCTTTATTAAAAAATATAGATCAAGTGTTGATAATAGTTTTTTTCTATGTAAACATAAGCTCAATCAGTACAAGTTTGTTGTATTAGTTATCTGTTGCTGTGTAACAAGTTATCCCAAAACTTAGCAGCTCAAACCAATAATAAATATTTATTATCTCATGCAGTTCCTGAGGGTCAGGAATTTGGGAGCATCTTAGCTGGATGATTCAGGCCCAGTGTCTCTCATGAGATTGCAGTCATTCAAAGGCATGACTGGGGCTAGATGATTTGCTTCCAAGACTGCTTGCTCACATGACTAGCACATTGGTACTGGCTGTTCTCAGGTTTCAGTTTCTTACCACGAGCTCCTCTCTTTAGGGCTGCTTGAGTGTCCTCACAACTGATGGCTGATGGCTGCACCTAGAGAGAGTGATCCAAGAGAACAAAGCAGAAGCCACAATTATGACCTAGCCTCAGAAGTCACACATTGTCATTTTCACATTATCCTGTTGGTGACATAGATTAGTTCTGCTCAGTGTGGGATGGGAGTATATAGACTTGAATGCTGGGAGTTGAGAATCACTGGGGACCATTTGGAAGGCTGGCTACCACAGCTGTGTATTAAAAACCAAGAGGCATTCTATGTGGCAAAGGTTAATGAGAGACATTTTGCTGGGTGTACCTGTATTCTGAAGTAAAGCTGACAAGATTTGCTGGTGGTTTGGTATATGAGGTACGGGAAAAAGAGAGGCATAAGGGATGCCTCCAAGATTTTTTGCTAAATAACTGGAAGTATCAAATTGTCTTTCACTGAGATGGAGAAAACTCTGAGAGGAACAACTTTTTAAGGGGATGATCAGGAACTCAGTTTTGGACATAGAACTTTGAGATACTATAAGATATCCAAGGGCAGACATCAAGTAAACAGTTAAATGTGTGTGCCTCTGGAAGTCAGAAGAGAGATTAGGGCTGTGAATAAAATTTGGAATCATTAATTTATCAGTGAAATTTAAAACCATGAGACTGAATAAGGTCACCAAAGGATCGAATGAAGACAGAAAAGAGATCCAAGACCTGAAATCTTGGTCCCTCCACAGTAAGAAGAACTGTAAAGAGAACTTAGAAGGAGTGGTCCATGAGGTAGGAGAACCATGAAAGGAGAGTGATGTGCCAGAAGCCAAGAGAAGAAAGTGTTTTGAGAGAGAGGAAATAATCATTGTGGCTGCTGAGTGAAGTGAGATGATCCTGGAGGTCACTGGAGACCTTGAGGGAGCAGTGTTACTGGAGTAATAGTTGGAATGGATTCAAGTGTGAATGGGAAAAGTGGAGAGACACCTTAGCGCTCCACATTTCCCAGTCCCTCTGGCCACATGACTAGTTCTGGCCAATCTGGACTTTGAAGTATTTAAGAGTTCTGACATGACCCTCCAGCCCTGTCTTCCATTGCCAGGTGATGGCAGAGCTATAAGATGCTAGTAGCCTGGATTCCTGAATCACTGCCCGGAGGGAGCTGCTCTGAATTGCTACCAAACCCACAGTACGTGAGCAAAAAATAAGCCTTTAGTGCTCGCTTCGGCAGCACATATACTAAAATTGGAACGATACAGAGAAGATTAGCGTGGCCCCTGTGCAAGGATGACATGCAAATTCCTGAAGCGTTCCATATTTTTTGGTTCAGGCGGTAATGCGAGTGATGGGGAGCGGCGCGGGGTGGCAGATGAAGGTTCGCTCTCCCGCTGCTCACCTCCTGCTGTGCGGCCCACTTCCTAACAGCCCACGTCCCAGATAGAGGTCCGCAGCCTGGGAGTTGGGGACCCCTGCTGTATATAATGGAGTCAGCCTGTCAAATTAGGAACTTGTAAATATTTTAATACATATTATCCTTTAGAGATTATTAAAAAATGCTTGCAAAATCTGTGAAGGTGGTCAAAAGGTACAAACTTCCAGTTATAAAATAAATAAATCCTGAGGATGTAATGTACAGCATAGTGACTATAATTAATAATGCTTGTATATTTGAAAGTTGCTACAAGAGTAGGTATTAAAAGTTCTCATCACAAGAAAAAAATTTTGTAACTATGTGTGGTGATGGATGTTAACAAGACATGGTGGTGACCATTTTGCAATATATACAAATATTGAATCATTATGTTGTAGACCTGAAACTAATATAATGTTATACATAGATTATTTCTCAATAAAAAACTGCTTGCAATAAAAAAAAAAAAAGAAAAAGCCTTTAGGGAATTCCCTGGCAGTCCAGTGGTTAGGACTCTGCACTTCCATTGCCTGCAGCCCAAGTTCAATCCCACAAGCCATGTGATATGGCCAAAACAAACAAAAAAAGCCTTTATGTGTAAAGCCTCTACCATTTTGGCACTCATTTGTTACACAGCATAGCCTAGCTTACGTGACTAATTAAACTCCAAGTACTGTTTACTGTTTTGAGGTTTGTTTGTTTGTTTTATAAAGGACAGCAAAAAAAAAAAAAATAGGGTGGTACCTAGAGGGGAATGTAGAGTTAAGGGGAGGTTTGTTTTAAGGTTTTAATTGAAATAAAACAAACATAAAGTTCACAAATCGTAAGTACAGCTCAATGAATTATAACAGAGTAAACACATCTAAGGGAAGGTGTTTGGAAAATGGAAGAAACATCAGTATATTGGTGATGAATAGGGGAGAAGGAGACACTGATGATCCGAGAGAGAGAGGGACAGCTGCTGAAGCCATATGCTTGGATGGGTGAGAGGGGCTGGAGTGGAGGCGTTAGTGGAGCCCAGACAGCTCATCTTTAGTAAGAAGGAGGAAGGCAGAGTCTGGCAGGTGAGGTGAGGTGGTAGTGGGAATCTTGGAAGTTCTCTTTTGCTGACTTCCATGTCGTCAGTGAAATAGAAGGTAAGGTTATCACTGATAGTGCTGAGGGTGAGCATTGGAGAAGATGATGGAAGCTTGAGAAGAGAGAAGATGTGAAGCTCTCCACTAGGGGAGTGGGAAAGTGAGTACACATAGAAATGTAGGGCATTCCCATTTAAAGTAATTGTTCTGGACCCTCTCCTCAGAAAAAAGCACATACCAATCCAGGCCTCCATCCAAGGAGCCAGGTCCAGAAGCCCTGGCCACAACCCCAGGACTGGCAGTAGCAGCTTGCCCTCTGCCTGTATATGGACAGACTCATCTCTCTGGGGTCTCTTTCTCTTTACACAGCAATGCAGACCCCAACCGGGCTTTTAGGTTAGCTTGTAAAATAATGGTCTTCAAGGTTCTCATGTGGCCTGTGTCTTCTTGCTCAAGATCTGGACATGCCCTAGTTTCCTTAGCACCCACTGCCCTGGGCTCCGTGGTGTTGCGGTGGCTGTTTTGGCCTGTTTTGGATTGCTCCTCTTGGTCTCAGTCTCAGAGGAGACCTCTCTGGATGCCTCCCCAGGTTCCTGTTGAGGGCATGCAGCTTCTTAATTACTCTTCATCAGAAAAGGTGGACCACACCTTGGTCTTCTGGGCTCTGACCCTCGCTGGGAACCATCACTCTTGATTGTCCTGATGGACAGGATTGGTGGCCTAGAAAATCCCAAAAGGTAGATGTTCTCCCAAATAATCTTCCTTTGAAGATTATTCAAAGCGCAGTCTGTGTGGGGTGATGCTGTTGACCAGTGGTACCCAACCCCCACTTAACTCTGTGGTGCTCCGGGACCAGTGGGGGCGTGGCCATCAGGCCAGTCTCTGGCCCTGCCTCCCTCTCTGTCTGTTTTGCACATTGAACTGCTTTACAAGATTAATTTGAAGAAAGGATTCCATAGCTTGCAACAAAGATGACAGAAGAGCTTGAAAATCAATTCTTTGGGTACACTTGCAGGAGCTGCCTGCTAGGAACTTGTGGTCGGAGAGAGTTCTTAGACACAGGTAAGCGGGGGCCACACAAATGTTAGTGCTGGTGACACTGTTTTGAAATCACTCTTCTCGTGAATGTTTTTGAGCACCTACTTCATGCCAGGCTCAGGGTGGAGTCATTTGCCCAAGGTTACAGAGCTAGTAAGGGACAAGCCTCAATTATTCCCTATGGACTCTGCTCCAGGAGGGCAGGGACAGAGTCGGCTTTGCTCACACTAACACCAGTCCCCCCCAGGCCCCTGGCCTGCCTGCAGTGCCTTCCTCATGAGTCTCTGACTAGTCTTTGCTGCCCTTCTAGCCCATCCAGCCAAATTTCTATTCCCTAAAGGGTTAGTGCCTCAGATGGAACCCTTCTCCTATGGATTGTTTGTTGCCTGCCAAATGAAGACCCTTCAGCCTGACATTAAGGGACCTTAGAGGCTGATCCCAAGAGAGCCACCCAACTTCGTTATCCCTGACATCCACTCTTGGCCACCTCCACCTGGCCCTGAGGCTGCAGAAGGACTGGGAGATCAGGCTGAGTTTGTCCTTAGTGTCCATCAAATGGGCACTGAGAACTGACATGTCCATAGTTGTTTTTAACTGGAGAGGTGAGCCCTGGTGCCAAATTCAAAAGGTACAGAATGCAAGGAGAAAAGCAAGGCTTGGGCCTGTTTACTCTGACTTACTTTGTTCATAGTAAATGTCTAAATATCAAAAAGAACTGATTTGTCAACTCAGTTTTGAATGGAGAAATGTTCATGGTAGGATGTACAGTGGAAGATATCAGGATACAGAATGGTTTCAATTCCCAGCTCCAGCGCTTCTTTCCTGTCGTGACATTGGACAATGTACTTACACTCTCTCAGCTTCAGTTTCTTCATATGTAAAGCTTGTCTGACAAGAGTGCCTGCCTCAGAGAAGAGTGATCAGGATTACATAAAAATCCACATAGGGACTGGGACTTCCCTGGAACTTCTAGGGGTAAAGAATCCGCCTTCCAATGCAGGGGATGCAGGTTCGATCCCTGGTCAGGGAACTAAGATCCCACATGCCGCGGGGCAACTAAGCCCGTGTGCCATAACTAGAGAGAGAAAGAAACCCTGCACACCACAACTAGAGAGAAGCTTGAGTGCCGCAACTAAGACCCGACACAGGGACTTCCCTGGTGGCGCAGTGGTTAAGAATCCGCCTGCCAATGCAGGGGCACGGGTTTGATCCCTGGTCCAGGAAGATCCTGAAGATCGCAGAGCAACTAAGCCCGTGTGCCACAACTACTGAGCCTGCGCTCTAGAGCCCGTGCTCCGCAACGAGCAGCCACCACAATGAGAAGCCTGCGCACCACAACGAAGCTTAACCCCTGCTCACCACAACTAGAGAAAGCCCACAAGCAGCAACGAAGACCTAACAGCCAAAAAAAAAAAAAAAAAAGTATATTTATTTATTTATTTTGGCTGCACCGGGTCTTAGTTGCAGCATGCATGATCTTTAGTTGTGGCATGAGGGATCTTTTAGTTGCAGCATGCCGCTCTTAGTTTCAGCATGCGGGAACTAGTTCCCTGACCAGGGATTGAGCCGGGCCCCCACTTGCCTGGACCACCAGGCAAGTCCCCCATGCATTCTTTTATAATCAGAAAGAGAACAGCACGCTTCTTTAGAAGGGAATATTCAGAACCCATTCCCCAGAGGTTTGAGTTAGCTGGGTCCTGGTGAGGGATACTTTCCTGTACTTAACCACTCTTAATTATGCCAGTGAATCCTGCCACTAGCACCTTCCCCCTTACCCTCAATGATGCCTTTGTTTGCCCCACAGGAGAGCCCAAGGGATGGCTGCTGACATGCAGAGGAAGAGAAGCAGCGAAGGCCCTGATGGCACGTTGGCTCCTTCTGATGGGCAGAGTGTGGAGAGAGCTGAGAGCCCCACACCAGGACTGGCCCAGGGAATGGAGCCAGGTATGGGCAGGGTGTGCAGCCCCAGCCAGCTTACAGCTAGAGCAGCCTCCAGGGCAATCGGGATTCCCAACCACTCTTTCACTGTCACTCATTCATGCATGTGTTCACTCACTTGTTAGCTATTTGTCATGTGCTGGGGATACTGCAAGGATCCAGGCTCAGTGTGCATCTGGCCTTCCTCTCCACTTCATTTTGTGCCACTTGCTCTGTGCTGTCTTGCCACCAGTGTGGGCTCTTCTCCTATTTCCTGTGTCTACAGGTACCTCCCTGGCTCCTTCTCTCTCTCAGCTCTCAACTTAAATGTCACCTCCTCACAAGAGAGGCCTGCTCTGACCATGCTCTGCACAGAACACTAATTTGTAGTCTTATTTGTGTGTGTATGTATTGCCCATCTTTCTTGTCCACAAGATTGTGAGCTCTTTGAGCACAGAGCTGTTGTATCCCCAATGCCTGGTACAGTGTTGAACTCATAATAGAGACTCAAAACATATCTCTTGAACTCTTCTGTCCAAAAAAAAATCAGTAAAGGAAAACTGACCTGGTCCCTGCCTTGGGGGAGCCACAGGCTAGTGAGAGCATTCCAGTGGAGGGGGCTAGGAACCATGGGTCCCTGTGCAGGGTCAGGGAGCCTTCTCCCAGGGAGAGAGATTTGCTGAGCACAGGAGGTATTCCAGGCACAGGGCGAGGTGCTGGGAACACAGCAGGGAAAAACCAGGTTCCTGCCCATGAGGGGGAACCCCACTGCAGCTGGGGAGAAGGGCAATAACTGATAAGTGCCCCAAGAGAAGTCAAGGAGGGGGATATGATAGAGTGCCTGGGTTTGGGGGTCAGGTGACAGGGACAACTAACATCTTTGCTGTGAGCTGAAGTGTGACAGGGAGCTGGCATGCAAGGAGGTGGGAGTGCCTTCCATGCAGAGGGAACAGGAGATGCAGAGGCCCTGAGGTAGGTGGGGATATCCAAAGAGCAGATGCACGAAGGGCTGTGAGGTGAGAGTGAGAGGGGCAGGCAGATACTGGCTACCACCACAGCCTTGAGGGGTTGGGGTCTTATTCCCAGGGTGAGGGGAGGAGGCTGGTGGGCTATAAGTCACAGCAAAGCATGACTTGTAGCCAGAAGGAACAGTGGCTTACCTCATCAGGACAGGCAGAGTACTGTATTGGGCACCTTGCTGGTGAGGTGGTCTGCCAGAAGCTACTGCTCTAAACACCAGTGCTTTTGGCTGGCAGGTGCCGGACAGGAGGGTGCCATGTTCGTCCATGCCCGTTCCTATGAGGACCTGACTGAATCAGAGAATGGGGTGGCTTCTGGGGAGAGCCCCAAGGAGGGTGCTGGTGGTCCTCCACCTCTGCCTACAGACATGCGCCAGATCAGCCAGGACTTCAGTGAGCTGAGCACCCAGCTGACAGGTGTCGCCCGAGACCTGCAGGAGGAGATGCTTCCAGGAAGCTCTGAGGACTGGCCGGAGTCCCCAGGGGCAGCTGGGCGACCAGCCACAGAGCCCTCAAGAGAGGGCACTGGTGAAGGGGATGAGGAGGAGACTGCTGAGGCATGGCGCCTGCACCAGAAGCATGTCTTCGTGCTGAGCGAGGCGGGGAAGCCTGTGTACTCCCGCTATGGGTCAGAGGAGGCACTTTCCAGCACCATGGGTGTCATGGTGGCCCTGGTATCCTTCCTGGAGGCTGACAAGAATGCCATCCGTTCCATCCATGCAGGTGAGCCACCAGGAGGAGGGTGCCAGGAGGTCTCCCTGGCCAGGAGAGACCATACCAGGTCTCGGACTCCCAGGGACTAGAGGGCTGGGATGTGCTATGTGACCAAGGGTAGTCCCTCCACCTCACCGAGCCCCAGGTCCTCATCTGAACATGGGAAAACAACACTGACTGCCTCATAGGGCTGTTGTGGGGGCCAAAGGTGGCTCGCACATGGGCTTTGCCCTTGGAGAAGGTGAGAAGCCGGGGGAGGTGGCCAAAAAAATCCCAGGTCTTGAGCCCCACCCAGCTCTTGCCACTTAGCCCAAGAATGAGTGTCTTTCTGAAGTGCTTCCTGCATTTTAGCTGGTCCCAGTCTGTGAAACAAGTGGCAGGAAAGGGGAAAGGGGGGCCCATGGGCATCTGTTTTTCTTTCATCCTGAAGCCGCCTCTGTGTGCACAGTTCTGAGGGGAGGTGGAGAGATTGTGGAAAGCTGAACGGGAAAAGCAGGGCTCTGAGGGTGCTAGGGCAGGCCATTCAGGGAGGGCTTTCCGGAGAAGGGCTGAAGCTGACACCACCCCTATCCGTCGGTCCCATCAGATGGCTACAAGGTAGTATTCGTGCGCCGGAGCCCACTGGTGCTGGTGGCGGTGGCCCGCACGCGGCAATCGGCACAGGAACTGGCGCAAGAGTTGCTCTACATCTACTACCAGATCCTGAGCCTTCTTACGGGCGCGCAGCTGAGCCACATCTTCCAGCAGAAGCAGAACTATGACCTGCGGCGCCTGCTCTCAGGCTCTGAGCGCATCACGGACAACCTGCTGCAGCTTATGGCGCGAGACCCCAGTTTCCTGATGGGGGCGGCGCGCTGCCTGCCCTTGGCGGCGGCCGTGCGCGACGTCGTGAGTGCCAGCCTGCAGCAGGCGCGCGCCCGCAGCCTCGTCTTCTCCATCCTGCTGGCGCGCAACCAGCTTGTGGCGCTTGTGCGCCGCAAGGACCAATTCCTGCACCCCATCGACCTGCACCTGCTCTTCAACCTCATAAGTTCCTCCTCGTCCTTCCGCGAGGGCGAGGCCTGGACGCCCGTGTGCCTGCCCAAATTCAACGCAGCCGGCTTCTTCCACGCACACATCTCTTACCTGGAGCCTGACACGGATCTCTGCCTGCTGCTCGTCTCCACCGACCGTGAGGACTTCTTTGCAGTGTCTGACTGCCGCCGCCGCTTTCAGGAGCGCCTGCGGAAGCGCGGAGCGCACCTGGTGCTGCGGGAGGCACTGCGCACACCTTACTACAGTGTTTCCCAAGTGGGCATCCCTGACCTGCGCCACTTCCTCTATAAGTCAAAGAGCTCGGGACTCTTCACCAGGTGAGGGAGGGCCTTGGGGAGACTGCTTGGGGGAGACAAGGGCGTGGTGGGGGGGCGGGCGGCCGGTTGGGCCTGAGCTCTGTTGCAGTCCTGAAGCTGATGACCCCTCTGGGAATGGACCGACCTGCTGTGTCTGTTTGACTCTGATACCAGGGGCCCAAACCCCCTATCACCCTACTCCCCATCAGCATACACCTCTCTACTTCAGTCATTTCCCATAAGGCCTTGAAATACCCAATACACCCAGGGAAGGAAGCTGGAACAGAGGTCTCCTCTGTTTGGTCAGTTTGGTCCAGCCCAGGATGCACAACTCCTCCACTTCCTCCTCCAGCAGAGGGGCTGGGGCCAGATGAGGCATCTTCTATCCTCCTTTTACCCCTTTTTGGTCCAGAAGGTTCCTGGCTCACTTTTCCTTCATCTCAGACCTGTCACTCTGTCTAGGACACCTAAACCCAGATTGGTTTTTCCAAGGGAGGGTCACCAAAGATGCCATGAACTTGGGGGAGAGGGGAGAACAGGGCTCCAGTCTGGGTGGGCCCAGCTTTGTCCTGGGGAGTCTTCAGTGGTGAGGAGACAATGCCTTGTCCTGGGGTGGGGGGGCATTTGGAGGGTAGGACCCATGGTGGAGTCTCCCTGGCTAGGAATAGGTGTTTCTGGATCTCCAGAGAAGCCAGTGGAAGTCATTCCTTTGCGAACCTACTCCCCCATCTCCAGCCCTGAGATCGAGGCCCCGTACACCAGCGAAGAGGAGCAGGAGCGGCTGCTGGGCCTCTACCAGTACCTGCACAGCCGCGCCCACAATGCCTCCCGCCCACTCAAGACTATCTACTACACGGGCCCCAACGAGAACCTCCTGGCTTGGGTAAGGCAGCCCTGGGATGGGCTGGGCTTCATCGGGGTCCTGGGCAAGGGCCACGAGGGTTGTCTAATCTGGATGACCACCCTGTGCCCCCTTCCTCCAGGTGACAGGCGCCTTTGAGCTCTACATGTGCTACAGCCCCCTGGGAACCAAGGCGTCGGCCGTCAGTGCCATCCATAAACTGATGCGCTGGATCCGCAAAGAAGAAGACCGCCTCTTCATCCTCACGCCCCTCACATACTGATGAGAATTTGTGTGGGCTCGGCCCTCCTAGGCACACCAGGCTGTGGAAGCCATGGGAGCTTCCAGGTGGGGCTGGCCTCTCTGGCCCAGGCAGCAGGCAGGGACTGTGGGTTGGTGTGTGCATTAAAGTGCTTTGGGGAAGACACTTGGGGGCCTTGTCACTGGTTCCTTCACTCTCACTCACACACAGACACTGGATCCTCCTCCCTAGGCCCTGCCCATGCTTCCCCATGCACAGCATCACATGTGCTCAGAGTTGGCCCCTGGGCTGGGGCTGTTTTCATTCAGCTGAAGTCCTGCCACGTGTAAAGTGTTCTCTAGGACCCCACTGGCCTTCCCCACCACGACCAACCTCCCGCAATGCCCTACCCCACGCTCAGTCTGAGCCCCTGGTGCCTCCCCTGTCACTCCTAGGTGGGATTCCCAGCTGCATGGCCTGAAGGACCACCCAACCACCTGGGATCCCTGACTGTGGCTCTGCTTAATGGACTGCTGTAGTTCAGCAGGGGCTGAGCTGAGTAAGACAGGGACAGTCAAGTGGAGAGAGTCTGAGCCCGAGCATGGGTGGGAGCCCTTGGTGAGGTGGCCCAGTGTTCAGCACAAATTCAGAGTCCAGCCTCACTATAGCTGTAGGCCTCTGGGGAAACTACTCCAGCTTAGGGTTCCTCATGAAGGCTGTCTACCTCAGCTCCCCTACCTCCAGCCAGCACATTCCTCAGGATGGCCCCCAGGAGTGAGCCAGAGGACCTGAAAGAAGACCCAGCTGACCTCTGGGGCAGGAGTGGACCCTGCCCTAAGAAGGGCTGATGCCCTTTTCAGTCACCCTGTTCCCTGGCATGGCCCAGCCTACGTGGGCCACCAGGAACATCCCAGGAGGCTCAGCAGTGAAGGCCCAGCCCCATTCACTCTACCATGAGACCTTCTTAGGACAGAGCCCAAGGCACAGTGCAGAAAGGTTCTACCTCCCTGCTGGGGACTCTCCTAGTTATGCCACAACTGAACCATCTCACTGGCCAGGGAAACAGAAGACCTAGGAAGTGTTTGGGAGAATAGTGTCCATGGAATATGGTCTTCAGACTATAGAGTGAATCACCTTCATGCAGCCTCTGAGTGCTGGACCAAGATACTGTGCCACTAAAACCAACCCATGCTGGAAAATGTGTCTTTGTAGGTGGCATAGGCCAAGGATACACTGGAATGAGTCACTTACTGTCCCAGGAAATGGCAGCACAGCCCCTGCCCTTGGCCCCACCCCAGATCACATTAGAATGGGTATGGCAGCAGGCCACCTGCCCAGACCCCAAAGCCCCTCTGGAGCAGCCACAGGCTTGGTGGGTGCTGCTCACACTGCCCACATGCCCTGAGTCTCTTTTCTGTCTGCTTGCTGTTTCTGTTCCTTCCCTGAATCCTGGAAAGGGCACCAAACCACTGCCTCTGGGGCCAGGGTGATGCCAGGCTAGCTGTCTCTGACTGCTACCGGTGTTCTTCTGGTCAGCAGTCAGCCTCCAGGTGTCCCTGCTGGCTACCCTGATCCTTGTAGGGCTTCCAGCTTCTTGCCGTTCAGCACCTATTCTGGGTGGGGGTGGGAAGAGATAGTCACAATTAGATAAGTGTGTATACCTAGGACAGTAGGCACCTAAGAGTGCGGGGTTTACCTGTTTGGGGAGCAAGGAAGGGACAACAGGCAAACAGGAAAGGTGTTCCTAGTGGAGCAACGAGCATGTGCAAAGGGATGAAACTGGTATGAAACCTGGTATGGTAAAGAACCTTGTCCGACTGGGTAACAGTGAAGCTGGAGGAGTCTTTAAAGCCTAGGGTTCTCAAACTCCAGGTAAAAGTCTGGCAGTGGGGAGCCACAGAATGTTTTAAAGCTGCAGAGTGACATGGTCATATTGTGGTTACAGAGGTGCCCCTGCTGTCATTAGGATGATCTCTTTGCGTTGGAGAAAGAGGCTGGCACTAGTTCTCTGGAGTAGTGTTCAGAGGGGAGTGAGAGCCCAAAGAGGGCAAAGTGGCTAGCACTCCTTCAAGGTGACAAATGCAAGGGCAGTGGGGTAGGTCCTTAGCTGAACGTGGGCCAGGCCTTGTGAACTCACCTTGAGAAAGTGCTTGTATTCGGCACTGCAAGGCTCCATTAGCTGACTTCCCCCACATGGCTTGCCTGCCCCCCTCCCACAGACCAAGTGGATGAGGAGGAAGGAAGGGGCACTCTGTGGATGCCTGCTGTCAAAGACCAAGGCTACCTCAGAGGAGATGCCAGCCTGGGGGCAGCCAACAACTTGGCCACATGATGGCAGCAGAGAACCAACTGTTGACTGCTGCACATCCACCCCCAAAACAGGTGAACGGGGAGGACCCCTCAGGTTTCCTCCCAACCCCTATAAGTCTCTCCCACTGTCCTGAGGCAGAATAGGGGTCACAAGAACCCATGTCTCAGCGCCGGGCAGGGAATGTTTCATATCACTTTTGCCCTGCATGACTATCTTTAGACATGTTGACTGTGGAACACAGGAATGGTGCCATAATTTCTGATGTGTGTTTATTCATTTCCGGGCCAATTCTGGTTAGCGAAGGGAGTGCCTTTTATGTTGCCTCAGGCACGGTATCCTCCCAGCACTGGGTGTGGCCGCCCCGGTGCTGTTTCCACCCTGTCACCAGATGCTCATTAAGCTCCAGCCTGGAGGGGTAGGGGAGTCCAGCATTAGGAATGGGGGATGGGGGGAGTCAGGTATCCAGAGTAAACTGTGCTGGGGTAGGTGTAGCACAGGGTCTGTGGGACCCACAAGATGGACTTGTCACCGCTTGGATCAGGTAGGCTTCCCGGAGGAGATGCCACCTAAGTTACAAGAGAAGGAAGGGAAAAGTGTGCTCCTGGAAGGAAGAACAAGGAGTATGGGCTGGATGGTGAGTAGAGGAGATACTTGTAGGGTCAGGGTGAATCCTGTTGGGCTGAGGGCTCCTCTCCCCACCCCCACCCGTTACCCTCCAAAGCTCTGGGACTCACAGTTCACAGGTCCCTCAGACCTCAGCCTTGGGCCACCCTGTGATGCTTTCCCTCCCTCCGGGGTCCAGGCCCACCTGGCTGAAGGGGATGTCAGGCTAAGGATGTGCCCCCGGGCCCCCCTCCAGTGTTGCGGGGAGCCAAGTTACCAAGGAGCAGATGCTGAGAGATGGCAAGAGCAGACCTGAGTTGACTCCCCTATCCCTGCCCCGCATATATCACAGCCTGGAGAGAGAACTCTGGGTTACCACCTAGCGAGAACTACACCCTCATTTCAGAGACTGAGAGGCTGAGGCCCAGCATGGCTTACAGAGCAGGTTAGAGGTGCCCTGAGAGCCAAAGCCCATGTTTCCCTCATATCAGGGAGGCCCTGGAGCAGAGCCAGGAATGAAGGCCAACATTTTGTGTTTTATTGTCCCCATCCTACAGCTTCCACCTACTGAGGCAGCAGTGGACAGACCAGAGCTAGGGTTGGGCCTCCACATAAGTTGCTTCTCCTCTGACTCTAATGTCCAGCCAACAGGGCTGGCCCCATCTTATAAATCCCACCTGCCCTGGGCAGGCGGGATGCAATGCACCATGCTGACACCATCCTGTCGCTGTCAACCCAGGGCAGGCCCACAGAGGGATAGTCTCTGCCCACAGAGGCTAGTGCCACTCCTGAGGTCTCTCCACACCTCCCCTCTGGTTCTCCACACATTCCTGGCCTCTGTTCCCTACACAGTGGGTCCCCCAGGCCCTGCCTGGAACGGGTGTCTGAGGATGTTGCTGTATCCTGGCGCTAAGAGAAGAAATAGGCCAGGTGGTCCTCAAATGCGCTGAGGCAACACGCCCCCTCACTTCGCCCAGTCGGTCGTGGGGGGCGGGACGGGACAGCTCAGATCTACTTAACCTCTCTCCAGGCCACTCCACGCACACCCACCCACAGGCCACTGAGAAAAAGGGGACCAAGTGTAAGTGTAGGACCCAGGCTTCCGAGGGCCAGGAAAGTCGAACAGGCAGAAGGGCTGGGCTAGGCCAGGCATAGAGCAGGCCCCGCCCCCAGCCCCGCCCCCACACCCTGGCCCCGTCCGCCCCGCCCCTGGCACTCAGACTTTGCTCCAAGCACCGGCTGGGACCGGCAGCTGGGGCAACAGGTGCGGGGGCCTCTCTGCGTGTGTGTACGCCCGCGCCAGGTGCTCAGACCCGAGGGCAGGAGAAGGCGGCGGGCATCTCAGGAGTCCCGGTGGGGTCGGTGCCCCAGGGCTCCCAGGACCGGCGCTCGACGCTTGTCCAAACCCAGACTTCTCGTTGGCTCCCAGCCGGGCAGGAACCTCCGCGGGCCGCCATCTGGGCCTCGATGGAGCTCCACCCGCCGCCATTGCAGCCCTTCCTGTTACTACTGCTGCTACTGCAGCTGCTGCTTCTGCCGGCGGTGCCCGAGACGGGAGGGTCCTGGCAGTGCCCGCGCATCCCCTATGCTACCTCCTGCGACTTTGACGTGGAGTACTTGGTGCCCAGCTTCTCGGCCGGCCGGCCGGTACAGGCTGTGGCAACCTACGAGGGCGTCAGGGAAGGGAGTGCCGTGTTCGTGGCCACACGCAATCGCCTGCATGTGCTTGGGCCTGATCTGCAGCCAGTTGAGAGCCTGGCCACCGGCCCTGCTGGGGCCCCTGGCTGCCAGACGTGTGCGGCCTGTGGCCCAGGCCCCCACGGCCCACCGGGAGACACAGATGCGCAGGTTCTGGTGCTGGAGCCGGTGCTGCCTGCACTGATCAGTTGTGGCTCCAGCCTTCGGGGACGCTGCTTCCTGCATGAGCTAGAGCCCCGCGGGACAGCCCTGCACCTGGCGCCACCAGTCTGCCTTTTCTCGGCGCACCACAATCATCCGGAGGACTGTCCCGACTGTGTAGCCAGCCCGCTGGGCACCCTCGTGACCGTGATTGAGCAGGGCCATGCCTCCTACTTCTACGTGGCATCCTCACTGGACTCGGCGGTGGCCGCCAGCTTCAGCCCACGATCCGTGTCCATCCGGCGCCTCAAGGCCGACGCCTCAGGATTTGCACCAGGCTTTGCGGCACTGTCAGTGGTGCCTGAGCACCTGGCTTCCTACCGCATCGAATACGTGTACAGTTTCCGTGCAGGAGCCTTCGTCTATTTCCTGACTGTGCAGCCAGCCAACGT